CTTGCTTGATCCGCTGACTCCGTATACGTCGAACAATAGATTCATCCATCGCTGCTGCTGGCGAAGATCGATTTACTGCAGATCGAGTGATCGCGTTCACACGAGTCACTGATCGGGTCGACTTCGGTTGCAGTATCTCGTGCAATCTGTTCAGCGTGATCAAGTCCTGCCGTTCTCCCTCGGCTGTCACGATCTCGCCTTCTTCGCGTTGCAAGGCAGCACTGGCGAGCTTGTCGGCGCTTTGATTCCCGTCTCGCTACGTGTACAAATTCGTGCTTCGGCCAAGATCGCAGCTGGTTCAACGCCTTCTGGCGTAACAGCTGAAGGCCTGGCGCCTTACAATCGATCTCGCCTCTCATCTGGCGGATCACCAAGTTGGAATCGCCACAGAACACGACTCGCCCCCGGGCTTGAGTCGAGAGGAGATCGAAACATAGCAGCAATCCCCTGTACTCTGCCTCGTTTACGGTCAAGTTCGGCATGTGTTCAGACATCGCCTCGAGGATCGTCCACTCGGGGAGCTTCCAAAGGATCGCGCTGTATGCGCCCCCCACACGCTTCACTCGTGCCGATCCGTCGAAGCTCGCCACCAACAGGCTCAGAGTCGCCCCAGAACACGACTCGCCCCCTGGCTTGAGTCGAGAGGAGAGCGAAACACAGCAGCAATCCCCTGTACTCCGCCTCGTTCACTGTCAAGTCAGGCATGAGCTCAGACATCGCTTCGAGGATCGTTCACTCGGGGAGTTTCCAGAGGATCGCGCTGTATGCGCCTCCCGCACGCTTCACTCGTGCCGATCCGTCGAAGCTCGCCACCAACAGGCTTTCACCCGGCTCTACGGTTGGAGGAATCGTGGCGATCATCTTCCGTGGTTGCTTCTTCGGGGCTATTGCGATCAGGGCCTCGTCAACTTCTGCCCGTGGGGTGACGCTTGCAGCGATCGCCCCTAGGATTTCCTCTTCGCCTTTGGAACACTTCGTGATCTCCAGCGTCCAACCAGACAACAATGCGACCCACCTGCCCAAACGCCCGTCTAGCCCATTCGACTTCAGGAGCCAGACTAGCGTGGAGAAACGTGATAGCATCTTGATCGATCTGGTGACCAACTGCGAGTAGCAGACGTCCAACATGCGAAGAAGAGCCAGGACCTCCTTATCGACGATCCCATAGTTCAACTCGTTTGTCTTCAGCGTCCGACTGGTGAATGTTACTGGCCAATACACGCCGCCGTGTTCCTGCATTAGTGCCGCCGAGATCGCCCACTTGTTAGCATAGAGGGCTATGACTGGCGCCCGCCCCGGATCGAAGTGCTTCAAGATCGGGGTGGAGATGATCTTCGCCTTGAGTATGGTAAAACGCATTCATCGCTCGTGCCCAGCGATCGCGTTCCTCGTCCTCTGGTGCTGTCCCTTCCTCCAGCTCTCCGGTCGACTTCAACCGTGCGATCTGGTAGTAATTTACCTCCCGAAGCTCGTACAAGATCGGTGCATAGACTGCAAAGTCCTCGATGAAGCGGCTGTAGTAATTCAGACTTCCAAGGAACGACTGCATCGACTTCAGTTTGGTGAGGAAAGGGAGATTCGAGAAGGCTTCAAGATCTTTCGGCTTTGCTTCCAACACTTCTGTCGACACGTGATGGCCCAGGTATGTCACCTTGCGCCTGCCCCAGTAGCTTTTTGCTACACTGACCGACAGATTCCAACGATCACATACATCCAGCAGATTTTCGACCTTGTTGCACATGCTGTCCCACGTGTCTCCAGTCACGAGAATGTCGTCGACGTGCGATCATCGTCCCAAGATCGACGGTTTGTGTTCTGGTTCGGGCTCTCCCTCCTCGAACACATCGACTGTCTTGTCTTGGCCGGGCTCGATGCGCATGTGCCCATATAGGGCGTTGTCCAAGATCCGCTGGTAGATCTGTGGAGCGTTCTTCAGACCGAACGGCATCCTCGCCCACTCGAATAACCCAAATGGCGTGATGAATGCTGAGATCAGTCTCGCCCGCGGCGTCATGGACACGACCCAGAATCCACTCGCCATGTCAAGGGAGCAATACCAAAGCACCTTGTCCAAGTCCTCGAGAAGATCGTTGATCAACGGCATCGGGTACTCCATCAGCCTCGTCAAGCTGTTCACCACTTGGTAATCGATGCAGAGGCGGATATCCACGCCGTTGGCCTTGATGATGACCACTATTGGTGACGCCCAGGGTGAGATCGATGAAGCGATGATCGTCGCCGACAGCCTTGATGAGCATGGATAACTTCTCACGGAACTGTGGAACTACTCTTCGGTAACGTTGTGCTACCGGTTTCGCGTTCCCGACGTCGATATCGCAGATAACCCCATGCGCAACGGGGGCAGTGCGTTCCCAGCTCCGACCAAGAGGTGACGCCGCTTCCATAT